TATCACATATTTGCATTTTGGTCCTTGAACTTCAAAACTCAATAGTTAACATTCTCAAAGTATTATCTTGTTGCAGTCAACCTCTTTTATTAGGATTTTGTCAAAAATTTATACAAAATCAGATCATATGTAAAGTACGTGACACATTTATTGAATTTTAGGGCAATAATGTCATTTTTTGATGATCGCATTTGCACTTTGCCACTTATGCTCCGTTTGTTTGGGAAGAAAATATTTTTTAATGGAAAACATTTTCTACAGAATGCTTTTTCTAGAAAATATTTTCTAAAGAAATTATTTTTTTATGTTTGGTGGTGGTGGAACGAAGGTGGAGATGGAGGTGATGGTATGGTAGTGGGGTGACAAAGGCGATGATGGCGATGGTGACGATGACGACGGTGGTGGCCATGGTGGTGGTGGCGAGAGTGGTGTGGTGGTGGAGGTGAGAGGTAAAATTTTAGTTTGGAAAACGTTTTCCCTTTTCCCTTCTAAAAGTGGAAAAAAAATTCTGCCCAAATAGGCTTGTTTTTCATTGATCATGAAAAATGTTTCCGTTGACTTTCGTTTTTCATTGTACCAAATACCAGAAAATATAGAAAATGTTTTCTATAAAATATTTTCTGCCCAAACAAACGAAGCATAAGAAAAGGAAGACAACATGCAAATGGCATAACTAGATAAATGTATTATTGTCCTAAAAAAAATTAACAACGGATATTATTGTTCTAAAAAAATCAATAAATGTGTCGTGTGAAGCACACAAGACTTGATTCCATTTAAATTTCAAGCCAAAACCCTAACGAAAGGTGATAAATATAATAAGATAATAGTTCGAAATGATTACTATTCATTGTAAAGTTTAAAAAGATAAATAAATCATAATTTAAGGATATATACTGCATTTTACCTTAAAAAATTATAGAGTCGCTACTGCTCAGTGAGTGCATATTTATCTACAACAGTCAATTCGACTTTATATCTTTAATAGAGAAAGAAGCCCCAAAGTCAAGTCGAGTAGACATATATGAGACATGAGCTTTTAGTTTGATAACAAAGTTCTTCTTAGTCATGCACACAACATATGACTTTTTGACAACAATTGAATGATTAAGATCCCTCTTTATATTTCTCATTGATATTCCAAGTTGTTTATAGCTGATGTGAACCACAACTCGTCGGTGGTTTAAAAATAGACAACTTAAATGCTTATTTGGGCCAAACTCTTGAGTAAAAGAGGACCCCATTCATTACATTATATGAAATTATATTAATTTATGTACTTAGGCACATGTTAAGGTGACTAAAAGAGTTGTACATTGTTAGGTTTTTATTCTTAGCAATCCCGTTTGACAAAACTCCTTTGAGTTGTAATTTTATTCGCACTTTTATTTCAGTGAGGCTATGAGTTTTTAGATGCGAATCCAACCCGAATTGTGTCTTGCAGAGAAGTTTGTGGTGTTTAATTCTTTCATGATTGCCACTTCACTGACTATGACGGGGATCGAGCTGCCCGGTCAACTCGCGGGGGATCACATGTATTGTGCTATTGGAAAATGGTAATTAAAATGGTGAAGCTGTAAGGGGGTGTTAAAGTAGAATTAAGTTGGCTTGTGTGTCCATGGTGTAAGATCTAAATCTGTGTGATAGGTGTCGAGCCTTCTGGTTAATACCGGTAAAAATGACATAGTGACTTGTATAGTTATTATTATGAACACTTGCCCTGGAGATTTACCCTTTTTGTTTATTATCGCTTTAGTTTTAAAAAGAATGTTTTGGAAACGGTTCTAGCAATGTAATTGTTGTTGTTTAGCAATGTATTCACATTTGATTTGGCAATGTATTTGCTCATTGGTATTGAGATACCTGGATTCGTTTTGGAAATGGATTTTTGCTTCAAACAAATGTTGTAAACTCAAAAAACGTTTTGAATAAACGAAAGGTTTTGGCAATTGGAAAGAAAGGGTTTTGTTAAGAAATCAAGTGGATTTGAAAAGGCAATTGGGCATATTGTATATATGTATTGCATCATGATCATTTATGCTGGTAGAGCATATTTAGTTTCTGAAAATATTTTTTACTGGGCTTTATGCTCACCCAACGTGGTTGAAAATGTTTTTCAAGTATATGGCGTAGTTTGTGGATGTGGATGTCAGCTGCAGGAATTGTGCTTAGAGCCAAGTAAGGGGTTATACTTCTTGTAGGCCTTGGGCCATTTGTTTTATTTATTAGGCCATGTGCCATTCTTACAAACATTGAGAATCCCTAGGTACATGTTTGCCAGTAGACTATACAAGCACTACCAATTGTCATTTTTACCGGTATTAACCGGAAGGCTTGACACCTATCCACGCAGGTTTCTGGTCTTTCACCAAGGACACACAGGCCAACTTAATTTCCATAACCACATCCCCTACCAAGATTCACCAAGGTATTCACCTATTTTTTTCAAAACAATAACATTTTCAATGTGTTAAGTATGCAACAATGCTCAATGTAATGGATGAGAAATTAGTTTCGATTCTCCTAATTCTCATGCAATTTCTATAATAATCATAGCTATCCTCCACCGATAACCCAAAACAAATATCTTTAAACAGATAAATAATTTTTCATAAAGATAAACTTTCTAAATTCCAAGATGTGAGTGATAATACATATTCAACTACACCATCTTCATCAATATCAACCCAATTTCACAATTTCAACATCAATTCTATTATCATTACAAAATCATCATTTGAGATTTTTAGAGCAAAACCCCCTTTTCTTTATAAATCAATTCCAAGGATAAAAACACACAATTTTATCTCAACTCATCCTCATTTACAATTCCACAACCATTTTCAAGAATCCATTTGAAAACTCCTCTTTTGATTTTTAACCCAAAACCCTAGATTTGTCCAAAAATTCCAAAATCACAATGTTGTTTTAGAAAGGAAAATAACTAAGTTAAAAATAGTAAGAATGTGTGGAGGAATCCCAACCTCAAGCTTAGAAGACAAGAGAGAGAACGAAGAAACTTCAACGATGCTGAAAATTGACTTTGTTCCGATTAGAACGAAGCTCTAGGTGAGCTCTATCTTTTTAACAAAGGGACTGTGATGCAAAGATCAACGGATCTAGGTGTATTTGAGTGTAAAAGGTGAGTTTTAGAGAGCAAGGGTCTCAACTTAGTGTTTTGAAATGTTTAGAGAGAAAAAGGGATGAAAAAGTGACTCAAAAAGTGACTTTTACGATCTGATATACGTGCAGACTGCTTGAGCTCAAGAAACACTGCTCGATAGCTCGAGCGACTAGATACAAAAAGTGAGACCGCTCGAGCCAAGACTACTCGAGCACAGGAAACACAACTCGAGCAAAGAATGTTACCCTCCCAGTAGTTTTGCAGGCCTGCAAAACAAAATTACCGCTCAAGCGAAGAGGTCAAAATACCAACCTATTCCAAACGCAACCACGATATTCAAATAACTCAATTTAACAAGGAATAAGATGAACAAGGATATGAACAACTGTTAAAGACAAGGAAGCCCAGTTCCACAACATCAAACGGGTCAGGTCAAAATCAAAATCGTTATAATAGGGAACTTGGGAAACTTAACTACTCTGTACCTTTATGACAACCAACTTTCCAGATCAATCCCTCAAGAAATTAGGATGCCCAGGTCTCTCGTTCATCTCAAACTCTCAGGGAACAAGCTCACGGGTTCAATCCTTGCATCTACAGGGAACTTGGGCAACTTAACCACTCTATACTTTTTGACAATGAACTTTCCAGATCAATCCTTCAAGAAGTTGGGATGCTGAGGTCTCTCGTTGATCTCGAACTCTCAATGAATAATCTCACCGATTCAATCCCTGCATCTATAGGAAACTTGAGCAAGTTAGCCATTTTGTCCCTTTATAACAACATGCTCAGTGGTCATATCCCAGAAGGCCTATGCTTTAATGGATTGTCAGTTAATTTGACTGTAAATGATTATAATCTCATAGGCCCCATCCCAAAAAGCTTGAGAAATTGCTCTACCTTATTCAGAGTTTGGCTTGATGGAAACCAACTTTTGGGAAATATATAGGAAGATTTTGGTATATACCCAAACTTGGTTTACATTGATTTGAGTTATAACAATTTTTTCGGTGAGGTATCACAAAAATGGGGAAAGTGCGATAGTTTGACTAGTCTCAAAATGTCCAACAATAATATTTCTGGTGAGATACTACCTGAAATAATGGATTCAACTCAACTACGCCTCCTTGAACTCTCTTCAAATGACCTAGTTGGACAGATCCCAGTGAAATTGGGAAGGATGGTTTCACTATTCAACCTTAAGCTAGATGATAACCATCTATTAGGCAATATTCCTCCAGATTTCAGCAAGTTGTCAAATCTAGAGATCCTTAATTTGGCAGAAAATGACTTGAGTGGTTCAATCCCTGGAGCACTAGAAAAGTGTAAGAAACTTTGGAACTTGAATTTGAGTAATTTGGGGAAAGCATTCTTGCTGAAATAGATCATGTGCATAACCTTCAAATTCTTGATCTTGGTCATAATTTGCTAAAAGGTAAGATACCACAGTAGATTGGAGAATTGCAAATGTTAGAAACATTGAATATCTCCCACAATGAACTCTCTGGTTTCATTCCATCATCTTTTGATAATATATTAGGTTTGATATCAATAGATGTATCTTTCAATCAATTGGATGGTCCTATTCCTAACATCAAAGCCTTCCAACATTTGACGCACTTAGAGGTAATAAAGGTTTATGTGGTAATGCTACTAGTTTGAAGACTTGCTCGCAAAAAATAAACAATGGGGTTGCTAAAAAAAAGAGTAACGAAGTTGTGTTATTAATTGTTCTTATTTTTGCTTTTCTATTTCTCTTATTAATGGTTGCTAGAATAGTACTCTTGATTTTTTTTTTTAAATTGAGGAACACAAAAAATGAGCCAAGACGAGTAAATAACAAAAATTGTTTGAAATTTGGAGGTATGACGGGAAAATGGTGTATGAAAACATCATTGAAGTGACTGAGAACTTTAGTACCAAATATTGTGTTGGGGAGGGAGGATGTGGTACTGTTTACAGAGATGATCTCACAAGTGGTCAAGTAGTTTCTATGAAGAAACTTCATGTATCACCCGATGGTGACTTGGCTAATCTAAAAAGCTTTACGAGTGAGATAAGTGCATTAACAAAGATTTGCCATCACAATATTGTATTACTTTATGGCTATTGTTCACACCAAAGGCACTCATTTTTGGTTTTCGAGTTCTTGGAAGGGGGAAGCTTGGGAAAGATATTGAGCACGGAGGATCGTGTATTATACTTTGATTGGATTAGGAGAGTGAATGTTGTCAAAGATGTAGCAAATGCTTTGTCTTTTATGCACCACGACTGTTCACCAGTGTAACGCCCTCATAATAATACATAACACCCAACATTTTAGACATGCATTGATACAAAGAATTCAACCATTTCTATTCATCAGAGTAATTCTTACAACGGTATTACATGTTAATAGTAAAAGCAAATGCCCTATGGGCTTACAGCTTTCCAAGTTAACACTTGGTCACAAAAGAAGAGTACTAACTCAATACATATTAAGCCCTTGGCTTGAATTTACATGTAATACATCAAAATAAACAAAAAAAAGAGTCTTCAACTCTCATCATCATCCAAGCTATGTCCTTGGAGGTGGCATACTACCTGTACCTGAAAATAATGTCCCATATAGGGTGAGCCAACGCCCAGTAGAGATATGCTAAACACAGTATGAGTAATGACTAAGACATTAGCAATTGATAAATGTTCAATTTTCATAAACCAACCCATAATCCATTTCCATTTCATGACCACTATGTTCATGTTTCATTTCAGTTTTCATTTCTTGTCAAGTTTCACAATTTACATCAATGGCTCAAAACCTGGCCAACCACTTATATGAGACAATGACTCATATTAAACGTTTCTCATTTTACAGTAAATAAACGTATTAGTTGTATCAACATCTCAACAGATAAGCATACAAGCTGTATCCACATTTCAACAGATATGCATATTAGCTATATCAACACTTCCAATGACAAGCATATGAGCTGTATCAACACTTCCAAAGATAAGTATATGAGCTATATCAACACATTATCTGACAATCATATGAGCTGTATCAGTGAAGTCCATCTCCTATCTCCTCCCAAACAATATCCGGTTTAGAGGTCCATCCCCTATCTTCCCCTAAACCGTGGAGTACATCCCCTATCTCCTCCCACACACACAACATATATACACAAAGGTCATATACGTAATCAATCAATACATAACATTAATGTATTCTATCAACCGTCATACTCTATGACATATCCATTTGATTAGTTTTAGTTTGCCTAATGATCATGCATTGTCTACAACAATCAAAACTACCATCCACCGGTAGTCCAAACAATTATTTCTAAACAGATAATAAAAGCTCCAACAGATAAAATATCAATGTTTTCAAAAGTGAGCAATTTACAAATCCAACTCCACTATTCAATCATATAATGAGTCAATTTCATTATTCTCAACTCAATTCCATATAACCATCATTTTCTCAAATTAATCATACAAATTAATTTATATAACCAATTAGGGTTTTCTAACCCATTTCTAGCGACCCCGGTCTTTTCCCATTTGATTATTGTATCCGGACTTAGGTTCCGTAGATTCTGTCATTGTATAATTGTTGTTGTCGTCCTTTATTTTCTCATTTGGAGTTATAGGATGTGTTGGGCAGGTTGGTTGGGTTGGAAACCAAGTGTTGCTGTCCAGATTTTTTGACCTTCGCTCAAGCGAGGAGTTGGTCGCTCGAGCGAGAGACTGCATCTGGCTCTAGACCTGAGAGTTGTGTTTCTTGGCTCGAGCGAGATTTCCTTCGCTCGAGCGAGCTTCTGTGTTGCAGACCTGAAGCATTGTTGCTGTCCAGATTTTTTGACCTTCGCTCGAGCGAGGAGTTGGTCGCTCGAGCGAGAGACTGCGTCTGGCTCTAGACCTGAGAGTTGTGTTTCTTGGCTCGAGCGAGATTTCCTTCGCTCGAGTGAGCTTCTGTGTTGCAGACCTGAAGCATTGAGTTTTTGGCTCGAGCGAGCTTTTCTTCGTTCGAGCGAGGTTTTCGTGTGTCTGGTCGCTCGAGCGACCAAGTCTTCGCTCGAGCGAGCCTGTCAGGTTTAAATAGGCAGCAGCGTGTTTCAGATCAGTTTTTCATACACTTTCAGATTCCAAAACCCTAGTTACGAGTTCTCTCTCCCTCTACACACCTTCTCTCTTAGGATTGATCTACTTAGAGTGAGTTTCTACCTTAGATCCTTTATTAAAAAGATAGAGTGAGTCGAGGGCTTCCATTTAATCTGAATTGTTGGTAGTTTGGAGCACTTTGAAGTTTGGGTCTTGACTTCGTTGTGGGTCTTCCGAAGACTCAGCGGGGTAGTGATGCTATTTGGGTGGTTGTAGACCGGTTGACTAAGTCGGCGCACTTCATTCCTATGCG